AGTCGTTCTTCAGGTCGAACCGAATTTCAGGACAGACAAACTTACAAACTTACAAACTCACAAACAAACAAACAAAGCGAGTTATATATATGGGGTGATGGTTCCCGAACCTGCCCTGTCTCGGATTTCTTGGAGTCTTGGCCCCTGACGAACGTCAGGCTTTTCACCAGGACAAAGAAAAACTGCATTCTGCTTGCTGCGAAGACATTGACCCGCACAGACACCCTATTGCCTGGGGTATAATGCGCGTTTTGCAGAGTCGCGCGCGAAATGTTGCTAGGCACGGCAACATTTTTTTCGTCTCTTTTGCTAGAGTTATCTTCCAATTACTTTTCAAGCACCCTTACTGAATAGGTACCATAAAGTGGGATAAAATAAACAAAAAAACAGGCGCAGTTCGGCGAGAGGCATTTGCGCTTCCGTTGCTCAGCTAGTTCCGGTTCGCATACCTCACGCTGATGAAAACTGTGAACTTCTGGAAGCTGAAGAAAGCTCATCGAGCCACCATGTGAAACCTGTCAGCTCACAAAGGATTTTTAGAGGGTCGACACGTCGATGGGAAGGTAGCAAAAGTCAAATGCTCCCCGTCGCCGAACAGCGCCTAAAATAACCTGCAAAATTCAGGTGAGGAAGAAACAGTGCGAAGTTTGAAACGAAGTTGCGCTCCACACATGGATGCGCCTTGTACTCCCAAAAACAGGGTATATCCACCAAGAAGACAGCCATTCTTACTCTCCACTTCATGAACAAATTATACGGTAGAGTTGTGAGAAATTTCCGCGATTTGTACGAGCCACTGCTTATCGACCACGTGCTGCGCTCGAGTTCGTTGAGCTGGATTAGGCCTGGCTCGATAATGTGGGGTATCCGAGCGAAAAGGGTAGAAGAGTGAAAGTACAGATGCGTGTTGTTCATTTGCCGAAACAGAACTTGCCCTAAACGTAACTGATACGTCCAGTAGTGCAGATTTCATCTCTGACGTTTACTATAGCTACCCTTGACGCAAGATTTACACATGTCATTTGCCCTGAACGTACTTGCCTTGTACTCGTCTACATCGCCACGTGCTTTGACTGGATTACTAGTTCGACGCCCTTCCGCGCAAGATGATGGCAGTTTCCTGCGGCAATCGAAGAGATAATGACCCAGGAATAAAATAAGACAATGCAGTAAAATGAACAAAAATTAATGCTGTAAGTAAAACTGGCTACCCAACGGTCAAGACCCAAAAGCGCTCAAGCAAATTCAGCAACAATTACGTCACAAAAACCAATGATATATACCCGCCTTTCGAACTCGAGCTTAATAGCAACATTGTCTCTTTGGTTACTGGTCAATGCTACCTAGAGTAATAGGAATTTTTAGAACTATATGGCAACTTGTATCAGGAGACGTTCTACGTTGGGGAATAATCCCCAGCGGGGGGTCGTATTTGGTCGCCGCGAGGAGGGGGTCGTATCTAGTCTTAGAGGAATTTTTGATTATGGTTAATTTTTCTGTTCATAGGCGCAATTCACATCGTTTGGTCGTCGGAAGAATCCAGTGGGCGGGGAAGGGGTCGTAATGCCGTCGGGAGAAGTGGTCGGGTCGAGGTCTGGGCTCGTTTCCGCCGCACCCGGGCCTTTCGGAGAAAATTTGCCGCCTGTTCGGGGGTTTTCCCGTTCCGTTTCACGTATGCTGTATACCTCCCGCTCCTCGACAGGAAAATTTTGGGGAGAAACTGGAGAAAATTTCTAGGATCTCCGGAAATTTTCGGGAAAAAAGGTAGCTGGACAAATTGGCAATAGAGGTAAGATAGTAGTGAAATGGGAAGGTGGGGAGGGATGAGGTCGTAGCAGAGCAAATTGGGAGAGGACGAATTTTGCGAAAATTTTTCCCAGCTTCAAAACGTGCCCTGATTTGTAATGCTTATATGAGTAAAGGCAGAACAGATAGGTCGAAGCTCGTGTGAATATCTGTTCCCAGAGAACATTGAAAATTGTTTTATTGCTACTCTACTGCGAAACAACCTTGATATGAAGTGACTGTACTCAAACTTCTGACTACTGCAAATGGCGCAGTTCGGCTCGGTGGCGGTACCAAATGGTACTGAGCGAAGCGCGTGCGGGGTCAACTTTTGAAAACCCGTAAATTTCTGTGACCAAACTGGCTCGCAGCTTCACAAAAGTTTACAGGTTGCACCAAAATGATATCGGTTAGTTTATTGCAAAAAGCCCCTGCCAGTATTTTTATTCCGACGCCTCATATTTCTATTTTTGATTGGGAAGTCATATTCGAAATTGAGCCGTTCTTGCAGAGGTGAATGGGGCCCCACGTGACTAGTAAACAACTTATCTGCACCTACTTCTCCTTACATAATTTTACCCAGTGAGCACGGCAAGAAAGACCAGGTATGTACAAGGAATACTCAGATTGTGCCTTGAAAATTCAGAGCAGCTGCTGTGGTTAGTTGCACGCATTATTGCCGCGAGACCATCGGAGAATGTGGTGGGAAATCGGTTAAAATTGAGTTATCTATATTTTCTTCTGTGGAAATTGGAGGTGTCCTTCCGATGCGAAAAACAATAACAGCAGCAAAGGCTTGATTGGAATTCAGTGAGACAGATTCTGTTAGTTAGGAAAATATCGCAACAAAACCAGTGCTGACAAAGTAATTCTGTTTCTTCTAAGTTCTATCCCTCTAACGGTGAAAATAACGTCACAGTCTTGAAAAGTCTAGAGAAGTTTTTTGGACGATCCCACAAACAAGTATAGCGCAATTATGCCATATCAACACATGAATATGAAATCAGCGTGGAAAATTGTGGAAAGCCTGAGCGCTGGCTCTGGCTCTCTAATTAAAGGACTATTTGTCTGTTTTTGCATTGCATTTCTTTGAACAGAAAGACCCACCTTCTTTGGCGGGAGTAGTCACAACTGAGAAATTTCCATTACGCTTCCAAGACAGGTCGGCAGCTTATTGGTGAGGGGAGGAGGATCTGTTCCTAGTGCGCGAAATTCACGGGAAGAGTGAAGCTTTCAACCAATTCAGAGAATTTCACTATTAAGCAAAACTGAATTTTTTCTTTGCTACTCATTTGAAATTGTTGTTGCAATTGTTATTTCTTTTGGAAGGGTATCAAGCCAGCTGGTGCTATGCCAACTAAGAGGTACTTCTCGAGCCTTTGTCTGGGACAGCTTCTTTTGTTTTCGCAAACTTCGAAAACCCATTCAGCACAACTAAAGCTACTTCATTCTTTGCGGCAGCGTCCACCAGTTTCTATCCACGTTCAGTAGCGTTTCGAGCATCCGGCAGCGTCAGCGACTGGGAAAGTATAGATATTGTTCTATCGTCTGCCAACGTCCAACAGCTTCTCATATTGACCGGGAGTACAGGGTATGAGCAAGAGGAGGGTAGCAAACAGCTGGATTAGGCTTCGTGTAATTGCAGGATGTACAAGCGCACTGCACAACTACACTATAAGTACATTAAATTGCATAATTCTGTCTTTCCGCAGTTGTGCGGTGCGACTGCATACGCCGCAATTTCACAACGCCTAATGCAGCTGTTTGCTACGCTCTTACTTCCACACACTCTTTCACCCGGTCGCTGGTGAACGCTGGTGGACTCTGGTAGACGGTGGCAGATGCAATCGATATCCACACTTCTCTAGCCTTCGAGACGCTGGCTGACGCTGATGGACGCTAGATCGATGTCTGTACTTCCCTACCTGCTGACGTTGCCGGATGCTCGGAACACTAGTGGACGCTGGTAGATGCCGATGGACCCTGACCCAAATTAGGAACGCAGCCTCACTGCAGCACCAGCTAACACCCTCAGTTTCATTCTCGCCCACCCACCAAGTTAGCGCATACACTTTTTTGCAGACAGATTTCACATGAGCAGGAGATAGGTAGGAGTGTTATAAAGAATATGAAATTCCAGAAGGAAGTTAGTACGTCAGTAAAGAAAAGACTAAAAGGAGCGAATTCCATGTCCGCCTTTCTTGTAACCTGGGCATTTGATCACTAAAATATATTATATATTATTACCTCACCAAAATATATTATATATAATAAATAAATTATCGATCACTGAAAGGAGCAGTTGGAAACACCTCAAATAAGGTCCCATTGGTTTTCAGCATTGTCTAAGCACACGCGGATAGACACTGAAATCGGGAGAGAAAGCAAATGGCAAAGAAGAAAAAGAGGAAATAGTACGAAGGATAGACGTGGAACATACTTTTGGATCTAGTCCAACAAGTCCCAGTTGCATTTGAGCATCGAAATGGTCACGTGCGCGGCTTTCGCACCAGACCTTCCGGAGTTGAACTAGTCCCACTATTTGCTAATACAACAGATTCGACTGCGCAACCGTTGCAGTAAAATACTTAAATGTCCAAAACGGAAGAGTTAGTTTTACTACGTTTTTCTTTTGTTGTTCTTAATTTAAAGCCGTTCTTAATTTAAAGCCGTATTTAAGTGCTCATATGAACGACATAAACAATAAAGGAAGGTTCCACAATCAAAACAAAACGGGCAAGTAAAGGTCTGTAACTTTGAAATAGTTGAATGTAATTAACTGCAGTTCTCATAGTTTACCTTACATCATTCGAAGTTTTTCGTCATGGAAGAAACGGATCCTCATAAGCTTCATATTGGCAGCCATCATCACTACAGAGCACCACTTCTCTTCGGAGAGAGTTAGTGATTGAGGTGCATTTCATTTTCGAGTTACAGTTGATATCGCCGCAAAGTCGGGGCGGTTCCAAAAGGGCTGGAATGAGCCCACCCGCAGCGTTTTTACCACTTAATCTTTTCTTCCCAAATCGATTGCTATCCGCTCATAATCTGTAGGGCAACAAAACCGGCGGCAGGCTTACTCCGTTCCTCCTGACACACTGATTGCGACGTTATCGACTGTAAGTGCCCTTTAAAATCTAACTCCATTTAGTGAATATTTCGAAATTCATCAGAAGTGATGGCCACGAAAATGCACGATTAAAAACTGTTGAGAACTACTGAAAAGCCACAAAAAATACCAAAAATACCAACAACCTCAGCCGATTCATACCTCCAAACACCTCGTTGCCGTTCTGAATCGCGTAGGTTTTCGCCGTGTACTTGTTCAGATCGCCACCTTTGAACTCGCTCATCACTGATTTGTTGTCTCTTGTTCGTTTTTTAGTCATAAAAACCTGAAAAATTAAACCTTATTCCTTTCGCCGAGTGGATGCCAATCCTTTACTAAGCTACAACGACGAAACAACACGAAAACTCGCAGTAATAATTTTATTATACAGAAAATGGGGGACAAAAAGTCAAAAGGGCCAAAGTGAAATCCTTAAAATGTGAATGATGACGCGCTTGGTCACATACTACCGGTTCAAATCCATGTTGTTCTTGAAACATTCGTAGACGAAACGAGTCATGAGCTGCTTTGAATGGACGTTGAGGAAGAGGAGCGCTTTCCGCTGGACCTTCCCCTGCTGATCGCTTCTTCTCATGTGATAGTGTCCTGAATATGGTATGAGCATAATGAAAAACATGAGAAAAATTGTCGAGAACACCCCTCCAGAAGAAGAGTTGGGTACGGTAACCACTTACATGCAGTTTCAGTCTAACTCTGGCGGACAATTTTTTGTTTTGAAAAAGATATGGGCTACTCGTATGTTCTTAAGAGGCTGAGAAAGAACCTCAAATGACCTAAAACGAGCACATTCCTCTGAATGTTGATGGCTTTATGTCAATAGACCCGGAACCCTTGGTTGGCGCAGCGCTTTCGATGCCTTAATTCCGAAGGTACGATTTCGGGTAATTGGAAAATAAATCTTCAATTAATTTGAAGATGGTACCAAATGAATCATTTGATTCAGCACAAGCGGGCCTAATCATCGTACTAGTTCTCGCAGGGCTAAATATCAGACCAATTCTCAATTTACCTTACCCCGTTTTGAAGAGCCTAAGGCAAACCTTTGGATTTGTAATCGCGGAAGGTATTGAGGGCATGCATAGTGCTGAAGGCTGACTAGTAGGTTTTTGTGATGTACTGTTGAAAAAATGGATTTCAGTGGTTTTGTGAAAAGATGCAATACACTTTAAAGGTGCATCCATAACACAACCACATGGGTATGGGAATATATGTAGCTTTTTCCAGTGATCATCCTTCCTGGAGCACCATCTGGAGGATGCTCTGTTATTGCCATAATATTTCAGCCAAAATCTCCCACAACATTTCAAGTAAAATCTCCACATGATACGTTTTGTTCGGAATATTTCTTGGATAATGAGAGGCATTGAATTGTCACAACAGAGCGAAATATAACTTCAGCTAATCTTGCAGAATGTCTGCGAGAGGGCAGTAGAACACGCAGTTCCCCTTGATTTAGTGAAAATGGACAGCTATAACTAACCAATTCTGGAAAATAGCACACGTGAAACGGGAGAAACCACGAGGAAAATACGACCCCTTCCCCTTTTTATGTTTTCCTGGAAATTCCCGAAAAAATCGCGGTGGTGTAGTGACAATGGCGCGGTTACCACTCGTGCGGCGCCGGGTTCAGATCCCACGTTGTCTCCCGCCCAGGCCAACCAAGACTTCTACCGTCCGAGGGACGGTAAATTGGTACCAGGTTTGTCTGGGAAGATAAAACACTGACTTGTACATCGGCTGGCCCTCGCAAGTCATTTTATAGGCCACATCGCATTCAATGAGCCACTACGATCCTGAATTGAAGTAAAATGCGTGCCGCATCCCACAAAGGAAGGGATTGAGCCACGACAAAGACTTTATCCTTTATCCTTATCCCAGAAATTCTAATTTTCCCTCAAAATTTTGCTTTTGGGAAGGAGGTGGGGGGGGGGAGGAAGGGGCTGCTGCTGCTGCTTTTTGCTCTCTGAAATCAGCATAAGAGTTATACAAGTTATAGGCAGAACTTCGAGAGTCTGAACCCGCATCTCGAACTTTCATGAAGGCCAAAGCAGCAGCAGCACCGTGCCTATTATCTAGTCAAATGTTGGAGTGTTGTCGTTACGTGAAACTACAGGGAAGAAAAAAACCAAAAAAACATGGAGAACACCACAGGTGAAGCAATGAACCTTTCAGGACGCATTCCCCGGAACTGCTCGTTCTATGTTACCAAAGCGATATCCTGCCGCCTCTGTCTCACTCATCGCATCGCACAATGCTAGTACTATCTACCAGCAGAAAAAAGGAAAATGTAAAAACTGAACTTGTGACAGTAAGAAGCTTTTGAGTAGTGGTAGGCGGGAACAACTATAAAGGCGTCAGAACTGCCACTCATAAAGATTGCGGCGCCTTCACTACTCCCTGTGAAGCCAAAAGCGGGATAACCTTGGAGAATGAGGACATGACTACTCGTACAAGGAAAGATGCCTACGAATTGCTTGAGCGCGGGACTGCCTGTAAGCTACGAGAAGTGAAGGCTCGGTGGTAGAATGGATGGCACATCCGATCACAAAGCGTAAGGTGCGTTCGGGTCCCAGCTGAGCTCAAGTCATTTGCACATAACTCAGCAGTCTTTTAGCAAATTAAGGAGCACTGCGATACGATTGGTTTCCTGTACAGGGCGACAAGCTATTCGGGAATTAAGTTGTTTGACGAGCAGGGCCAAATTGAGAAGTGCTTCAGCAAGATTTCGCACCGAAATCGCTGAATCTTTACAGAAGTTAGAAGCACTAACAACTCAGTGAATAACAGGATTATAACAGTCGTACGCAAGTATTTGCTTACTAGACAATAATTCACTTCCACAAAAATTCAGGATTACAGCACAAAAACTGAAGAGCCCAGTAGCGGCTAAAGGTAGAGAAAATGGATGGATGTCACATCGGAAGAAACGCTTGGAATGCGGAGGGCAATCAGCTGCAGCTCGTCATATAAAGTGTCAGTGACTCACTTGGTCGCCATCATTCTGTCCAGGATTAGTTTTTAGTTAGATACCGTATTATGATATTATTTGATTAGTGACGCATAAGGGTAGAGGACAAATCTTTCGCCATCAATCAATCCCTTTCTGGGATGCGGCATGCATTCTGATAGGAAAAATAAATTTGGAATTTCATCAACGTGACTGGGAACGTCGCTGGCAATCTAATAGATTCGGTCCGGTATTGACAAATATTACAAGTGTTTCTATCGATTGTAAGGAACTTCTGCTAAAGGCTAAAAATTTGATAAAAACAGTAACAATTCTGCAGAGATGCGGACGATCTGCTCGTTAGATTTATATCAAAATAAAAAACTAGCAGCTGACGCCATGGTAGCCATGCTAGGCTGAGCAAATCTGTGAAGAGAGGGGGAGGATTCTCAAAACTGAGTTCAAACAAACCTGGATATTTTCTTCTTAAACAATTCATGTTCCGAGTGCTTTGTTGGGGTGCCGGGAGGCGAAGCAGTGCGCGATAGCATGAGCCTCTTGCTGAAGAAGTGCGATGTTACTGTGATGTTACTGGTACGTGCTTTTCATTTTTGTAAACACCGTCGTAGCCATCGAAGGGACCAACTTTTGCGGTGACGAGAGGTTTTCGTTGAAGATGGACTCAAATCGTGGAGTAACAGCAGCTGGTGATGTGGGAACAGAGGCTGGTTGTAACTTGTTTTTGTCTACCTACAAGTTTACAAATTAATAGAAATTGCTTGCTTTGACAGGTGAGCATGCTGTGAGTAAAAAGCGAAAATTTTGTTGGCGAAAGAAAAAAAGAAAAAAACATGTTCAACGCTAGAATAACAAGCCTTATCTCTCATCCTGGAGGAAACCCAGGAAGAGTCCACGCTTACTGCAGTCCACGATATTTTGGAGCCTACAATAGATTGGTAAACGTGCTACGCGAAAACAACGAAGAATAGTTGGCGGTAAATCTACAAGGTTAACAATATGAACTCGTGGTGTAAATATACAAGTACTATGGAATGGAGTGTAAGTTACTAGAGTACACTTTATTTGTCCTGGCTTCTCAACACACGCCGCCACTATTGCACAGTTTCGCACAGTCCGTGCCTGAGAAGTGATTTACTTCTGTCAACTGAGAAGTGATACATTTCTGTCAAAGTTTCATGGGTAGGCCATACATTCGACTAACAGCGGATTCACGGCGCGCTTCTAGTTCTTTTAGCAAACGAGCAGAACTCTCAATGTCTTCTATGCTTAGGTGAGGACTGTGCTGGGCTAGAGAGTTATAAGCTTGTATAATCATTATACCTGCAAGCGGTAGGGCGTATGAAGGGGCGTGAGTTGGACCGCAGTCAGAAGAGTCCTTCGAGCCAATTGTTGCTGGTTCAGGATGGCATCACAGAGGGGGAAGGCATACTTGGCAGCCTCAAGTCCACCCTCCGTCACACGTCTTATCATTTACAAGGGCTGTGATTTTACGTAGCAAGAGCGACGTAGAAGCGCTACAAAATGCACGCCCTATACAGTAAAGCGGTAGGACTCGCCAGAGCAGCCGTTTTCAGTTCTGCTCGCACTGCATATATGATGATTATCGTGGTCTCGCAGATCCGTTCAACTGACCTACCGCCATTCTATAACCTGTACCCGGACGCTCGTAGGAGACGCTCCATAATTCCTATTTACCGTAAGCGAACACAAGGATCGGCTCTTCCGTCGCTACTGCTCACTCTGTGTTTGGAATATGCGACAAAGAAGATTATGGAAGAGCCGCCTTTGACGCTAGGATATGCTGATAATGTGCTGCTGATGGTTCGCTCAGGAACAAGCTGAAAAGGCGCGCCAACCGATGGAAGGAGGAACTCGCTGCACATTGACCCAAGCTGAACATCAAGAAAACCGACTACATGTGCACTGCCACAGTAACCTCTCCAGCTGTGATCGATGGCACCCCTCTGACCGTGCTACGAAGTCCCCTTGCCTCGGGTCTACGCTACCGCTAGTCGCTAGATGGAGGTGCTAAAATCGACATAAATCAAGAATAACCCGCGGCACGGAACAAGTGGAGGACTGTCACTGGCTTTCTTTACGATAAGACCAGTTCACCTGAAGTCCAAGATCTACACTTCAGTCGTAAGATTAGTCTATGGAGCGGAGACCGAGCAGATGACGGCCAAGGAAACAAACAAGTGCCTATGGTGTCATGGAGATGAAAATGCTGCGATGGAGTTTGGGCTACATACGGATCGAACTGCCCGTTGAAACCGTTCGTGGGAAGGCCAAAACCCATCCGATTGTCAACTGCCTTACCGCATCTTGTCTGCGCTGGTAAGGCCCCGTTCAACGAAGACCTCCTGTCTGCCAACAAGATCGTTTTCGCAGACAAACGTCCATGTGGCCGATATAGACTGTGATGGTGAAAAACCTGAAGAGGGACATGACTGTTGGTCGGTCCGCACCCGATGTACGGAACAGGGATCACTGGAAAACCTTTGTGAAAAAAGCCTACCCGACAGAAATTGCACAAGTACGCTAGAAAGAAGAAGACCCAGTAGAATGTGTGTGCATAATTTACAGAATAACCCACAGTTCACTCATACTTCACAGAAAGATGCACTTTAGGAACAAAAGCCCATCTTAAAGAAAGACTGCTCAACAGAAGACGGCATTGGGCGCAACTCCATTGCCTCCGTCAAAAACAATGTCTATGTTTACCGGATGGTGAAATCTGTAGCGTGCCACCTTGATCGAATGTGTGAGGGAAGGACGCTAGGAGCCCGCAGAACTCAGAAGCCCCCTCACGGCCTGTGAGTTCTTCTGCCCTCGAATTACACTCGCAGGATGGGACGTTACATTAGCAAACTGTGGTAAGAAAAGTCCGACCGGTCTAGAACCTCAGAAGCATAGCAGAGAGGGTTGGTCGCACATTCACAGATTGTCTCGATATTTTCAGGCATTGCTTGAAGGCATTCCAGTCGGAAACGTACGGTGTTGCTCATTTCGCTGCGGATGGTGGGCGTGTCGGCGAAGCAGGCTCTGGCGCGCCGCCAGCCCGTTCTCGGCTAGTCGTTGGAGCGGGCAACAACTACAGGAAAGCGACTGCTACAAACAGTATAGTATGTGCGATGTTGCTCGCATAAAGAGCAAAAAAAACGAAAGGCTGGCGTTGCGCTAAATCCCTACCACCTTCACACGCCCCATCAACTGCAGCGAACAAATGTGCAAGTCAAAAAGTTCGCCATCAACCTCGACAGAGTTCGGCACTAAAGGCTCTTCATAAGAGTTCGACTTCAGTACTTGCTGAAGAGTGGCGCTGAATACTTTGCCCTGCCCATAGAACTCGAGTTAATGTTCTTAGTCACCCAAATGTCACACCTCGCAGATTGACTGAACCCCAAGACACCTCTAGTCTGGCAGTACGAGGAGTTGTCGTGAATTGTCTTGCAGCGGAAACTTACAGTAGTTGCACTTTCGTGGAGCCTCAGCAAATAGGTGAAGGTGCAAGCTATATTACTACTCCGCTAGCGCTATGGCTTGCAGTGAACTTCACTAAATGAGAGCAGGACCTTTCTGTCGAAATCATCTTCGAGGCTGTGACAGCTCATCCACCAACAGAGCAAGGAAAAGTTCAAAATTCTATGGAATCGAATATAGACCTAGGCAGAGTAAGTAAAGTAGGCAAGTAGAGTGTACTACGTAAGATGGTGTAGAAGTGAGAAGAAGTGGAATTGTACCTAGGCAACAAAGTACAGCCTGGAATTCCGGCTACAAATATGAGGATCGCCGAGTTTGTTGCCTGAATTTCTCAAAAGAACTGTGAACGGTGAAATTAAGCTGGAAATATAATTTTCCTTCTGATCACTGTTCAGCTGCTCAAACTATGGGTCACCATTGAGCAGCGGTGGAAGTAATATAAAGTAAAGGTACAGGTGGTGTTGATCTGCGGGCGAGCAGATTGTGGGTTTGCCTATCATTATCAAAACTTGATCTTAACCTTCCATCAAAGCTCAAACTAATGTTCGACTTTCAAAAACCTAATGACTGCAATAGCATCATTTTTGTTGCGAGTGAATTACAGAAAGTTAAAATGCCTTACAGTAATTGTGCTTCACTTACAAGTTCAGAGCAATTTGCTGGTGCATTAAGTAGGTTGAAGCATCCTGACAATCTTGCTAGAATCTTCACCAGAATGCTTGCCAAGGGCTCTAGAGACTTCGATTAGAATACTTTAAATTAGCCGGCTTTTGAGCTACTCCAGTTGAACGGTTCCAACTGAGAAAGTTAGCTAGTTCTAGTTTGCTGACGTAAGGAAGATGGGCCATTCAGGAACGTCAATCATAATTGGCTTTGTGCCATGGAATCCAGCGTTAACAACACATTCCAGCCTCAACAACGACAACTCGGCCTGCTCATATCGCGCTGATTTCGACCCTCGAGAAGCTTTCCCTGTGCTCATGTAATGTGCTTATGAGGCACGTCGTACATTGGGGTTCCCCAGCGAAAGGTGTCGTGCTTGGTCCTAGAGCGATAGGGTGATATTTTCCAAAAACCTTTTCCAAAGGTAGTTCCTTTGTGTGCATACATACATAGAATACATAAAAGTTTTTGGTTGTATTTCCTACGTGTACAAGTGTGAAAGGGATTGTACCCCACAGCCGTAATTCACACCTTCGCTGGCACTTCGTATCCCATTTTCTGCACCTATCGACCCAGATGCATCATTCCTTTTCTTAATTAATGTGCGTCACGACCCTACATTGGCAAGACGCGCAAAGAAGCTTGGTGGCATGATTAATCATTATTGTCTGTTTTTGAGGCCTTTTGTCTTCTCTCGCCCTCAGTTTTCTATTTCTATACTACGGAGTTGCTTAAAGACACATGGTACGCTCAAACACATTGAGAGTGTAGGAGACTATCAGCCCCCCCCCGCTGTCGATGTGTCGTGGTTCCCCCCCCCCAAACCGCACGGGGTCAGAGTACGGGCCTGTGGGAAAGTCGCAATTCCTTGCCACACCGCCCATTT